GGTCTCATTGGAAGGATTTTTTTTTTTTTTTTTTAGTTTTTATAAATAAAATTACTCTTTTTTTATTCAAGGAAGACTTGAGAGGTGTTACATTTACATATGTAAAAGAGTGACTTTGTTTACTAAACAAGCAAGTTATTAAATGGAATTATTTTGAGGAGCAGTCAAGCAATTTTTGACAAGATGTGTTTGTTTAGATTTTTTTCATGTTTTGCAAAGCAGACACTGTCAATTTTATCAAAGTGTAGTCTTTTTTAAAATGCAATCCCAACCTGAAGAATTCCCTTCCATCTACTATTTTTGAGACATATTTTTGAGACATTTGTGACATCTAATGTGCTTTGTATGATCCCAGAAACAAGAATTTTTATTTCTCTTCAGGAATGAGATATGCTTCACTAAATATAAAACCTATTTTTAAATTACAAAGAAACTCCTTCCTTAAATTGGGCATCTATTTGCTCAAATATAACTTGTCTCCTTTGCTAGTCTTTGGTGTTTCATAAAACTAAAATAGTGCAAAATACATTTTCTCATTTTGGGTTTTGTTTCTACATTTTATCTAATTTAGGATTACTTTGCCTTTGCCATATTCTGCTTGCTATGTATATTAGAGATTTTGTTCATGAACTATATTGTATAAAAATAAGGCATTGTCCTTAATTACAGGTATTTTCTCTTGCTGACTCATATTTATTTGTTTGAAAAGAATTGAATTTTTAAAATAAAAAATGCTTTTTAAAAAATGGTTATCTTCGGTTTATAGCTCAACATTTTGTAATGTATGTCACCATGTTTTACTTTGATAATTTGCTTTTATCAGCTTTTTAAACTCATGACACTTTTATTTTTCTCATTGTCCTGCAATTTCAGAGCATGTAACTTCTAATGCCAGCGATAGTGAAAGTAGTTACCGTAAGTGTTTTAAGTTACTTGTTCTTTTGTAATTTGAAGTACTATGTATCCTTTGGGTGGTTTTTCTTTAGTTATATATTCTAAAAGCTGAAAATCATATGCTTAACTTTAAAATCAGGGGAAGCCAATTAAATTATGTTCTTGAAAAATAAAATACTGCAAGTTGAGTGTCTCTATCCAAATTCTAAAACTTTGTAGCGGCAACATGATGCTCAGTTGATTTTCAAATTTTGAAGCATTTCAGATTTTTAAGTTCAAAAGAAAAAAAATAAAATCCGAAACACTTTTGGGCCAAGCATTTTAGGGTAAAAGATAGCTGATAGATATATAGATGGATGGATGGATGGATAGAATAGAGAGGTTAGTGCCCAAAATTTTGGAAAACTACTCAAACCTTTTATTTTTTAACACAGCGAGTGTGTGTGTGTGTGTGTGTGTGTGTGTGTGTGTGTGTGACTTTTATGGAAAGCAGATACTGACTAAACAAAAAGTAAACTTGTATTTTGACATTTTAATTTTGTTTCTAACAAAATAACTTTCAGTAATGCTAAGTCATACTTAGCTTTGGTTCCTTTCTGCTCTGCCACCAGTATTGGTCTGTGTTATCATTATTTATCACCACCTATTGGTTAGAATAAGTAATGAGGGACCAGGTGGGCCTGGGATTTAGCTGAGTGGCACCACACCTGCCTTGCAGGCACAAGGTCCTGAGTGTGATCCCTGGTACCCACCCAAAAAAAGGAAGGAAAGCTTTTCAATCATTGCTCAAAAAAGTAAGACTGTTTTCTTTCTTTGTATTACATAACATATTATATTCTTGGTATTTTTAAGTGAGGTATACATATGAAGTCTTTAAACAGACTGGGGCATGGGAGGATGGGAAATTACATGAATATTACCAGTTGTAGCATCTTAAAAATTAAAATTGCTTTTCTAACTTTTTTTTTTTTACTGCTGTCTAATACGAAAGTAATCTTGATTACAGATGAGTATGGCTGCTCCAAAGGTCCATCCTGTTCATATCAGTCTGTTCTGTTTTTTTCATGTTGACAATATATACTTTTAAATCTCATTCATTTGGTTGGCTATTCTTTTCTACATAAGAGTTTCTTAATCATTTTTTATGTGAAAATATGATTTCAGCATTTTAGTAACTTATAACCAGAAGCTGCTATAGAATAGACTGGCTTTCTAGACTAAAGAGAAATAATGAAAGTATATACTGTCTCTTTCACCATTTGCATGAATCATTAAGGTGTGGAGTATTCAAATTGCATGTTTTTGCTAGTATGTGAACCATATTTTACATCCAGTACTTTAAAAAAGCAGCTTGTAAAAATATGTTTTATATACTATAATAAAATTGAAAACAAATAAATATATTTTAAAGCAGGAATGAATACTTATACCAGTATGTGAATTGAAAAGACCTGTATCTGAATATATATAAACCAGTGACAACATTATTGAAAGTTGTTACAGAACTTGATAAGCAAAGCAAACAAAATCTTCAAATATATCATCCAATTTTGATTGCTTTCATTGAACCACATAAATTCTAATGTTTTTTCTACTTGTATGTTAAGAACTAGAAATTTTAACTTTTTAAATTCTTTTCACTGGGTTCAGATATAATTGGCAGATTTTTTATTTAGTATGTTTCCTAAGTTCTACCCCTTTAATTTAACCTTCAGAAACTTTTTAGTGTTTTTAAGATCAAAACTATATGTAACTCCTTCACTATTAATTTGATTCATTTTTGTTGCAAGGGAAGAATTTAATTTTATTAAAAGACCTTTTTTAACACAATTTAAATATTATTTTCATAAAATCGATGAGTTACAATAACCAGTGAACTTTTTCATCAGTGACAGTAGTTTTACAAATTTTGTTAAATATTATACTTAGTGGAACCAAAAAAGTAGTACTTTTTAATAGCATATTATCTAATGTGCATATATGTGGAACTACTCATACTAATATTAAAATTTTAATAGCATTAGTCTTTAAAAGATGTAATAGTTCTTAGAGTTGGGGCCGGGGACTTATCTCATTGGTGCTGCCGCATGCCTCACAAGCACAAGGTCCTGAATTTGATCCCTGGTACAAAAAAAAGAAACTTAAGAGTCTGAAAAATTAATAGAACATACTCGTCATCACAAATATTTTAGTAGATGTGATCTGTACGCACAGAATAATAGCTGTAATAAATAAATAACATTTTATTTGGCTATATTTATTAAACTTTAATCCTTGTAATAATTTGCCTTTTACTGAGTCTTACTATAAGTAATTCTGAAGTAATATATTTTTATACATCTTTGTTGTTTTCTCAGGAAAGTCCTAATAATTTATATGTTAAATATAAAGGATTAGATTTATGTTTATCTTTTCATATTTTTTTCATCTGTGCTTTAACTTTCTAATAGGTGGTCAAGAAGAATATGTCTTGTCTTATGAGCCAGTGAATCAACAAGAAGGTTTGTGAAGCCTGTTGGTGTTTTACAATCTTATGAAAAACAAAATAAAAAACCCTTGTAAAATAGGTCTATATCTTCTGCAAACAAATTTCATATTAGAATTTTATTACTAACTATATATATTTATGTAGAAATTTATGAAACAAAGTAGCTGATAATGTATTAGAATGAAATCATTTTATATTGCCTGGTTTATAATGGTGTGTTATTTCTTTCCAGTATTCATAATGACAGTATTGTCTTTCCAATAACTCTTTTTAAAAATCTTAAAAGTTTCATTTGACCTTTCTCTGTTCCTTTTCCTTATCTAGGCAGGTTCTAGTTTCTTTTTATTCTACTTCTGCAATATATTATTATTATATTATTAATACTTATTATATTATTAATAACCACTTTTTCAGCCTTCTTATTACAGTGTTAGTTCCAGTTCTCATTCTTAATCTCCCTTCTTCCACCGCGACCCCTGGAAATAGTGTTTGACCTCTATTAGATCATCTTTCTAAATTATTACTATGATTATTATACTTCCTACACCAATTTTTTTGTCCTTTGTTCACTTTCCTTACAGTTTCTATTTATAAAACCATGTATCTTGTTTTCATGTTTATAATGAGATGTTAGTGATATTTAAAAACATTTTCTGCTAAAATTCTAAATTCATTTCACTTCTAGTGGAGATTGAGTATCTTAATAAAATTTTATAAAATAGTCATATTTCAGTGTCAGTGAAAGGATATTGAGAAAGAACAAAGATTCTTATAACAATGATTTTATTCTATGGCAAAATAAAGTACATTAATATTTATTGAGTGTTTATTCCTTTTAACGTATAGTTTATCTTTATAGTTAATTATACTCGACCAGTTATTATATTGGGACCTATGAAAGACAGGATAAATGATGACTTGATCTCGGAATTTCCTGACAAATTTGGATCCTGTGTTCCTCGTGAGTAGCCACATAAAAACTCTTAATTGTTCTTAACATTCCTGTCATAGTGTTTGGCAAAAGTAAACATAACCATTTTTTAATGTTTTTATTTTGTTTTGTTTTGTTTTTGTACCAGGGATTGACTTCAGTAGCATTGTGCCTGCTTTTCAAGCACAAGGTCCTGAGGTCAATCCCCGGTCCCATTGAACTTTACGATGGTTTAAATGGAAAACAGGGCCAGGGATTTAGCTCAGTGGTTCTGCCCACTGCCTCGCAAGCACAAGGTCCCGAGTTTGGTCCCAGGTACCATAAATAAATAATAGATTTATTGTGTTTTTAATACTACACACTTCCCCAAGTTTTTTTTTCTGTTAAAGATACAACTAGACCAAAACGAGATTATGAGGTAGACGGAAGAGATTACCATTTTGTGACTTCAAGAGAGCAGATGGAAAAAGATATCCAAGAACATAAATTCATTGAAGCTGGCCAGTATAACAACCATCTATATGGAACTAGTGTTCAGTCTGTGAGAGAAGTAGCTGAAAAGGTAAGTCTCAGAGTAACCCAAAACAGTTTCTAATCACATGTTCCTTTGATGTAATATAAAGGGCGATGGGATAAAAATTTTTACTTAACAAGTATGAAAAATATAGATGGTTCAGCATTGATTACTATGTTGAGAATTTATTTACCTAAATAATTAAGTTTGAGGTTAGAAAAATACAAGATAAAATATACATTGTAGATAAAGAAAATGCAAATAGAAATGGCAGCCTATGAAGCTCTCCTTTAAGGTCTTTTGCTCTAGATACACCTTGTGTCTGGCCCTAGTCTTTCTAGTTATACAGGATGTTAAGGAGCTACGATCAGCAATGCCCATCACTAAAAGTCAGTGAGGTGTTCACAATTGCACTGCTTCTGAGATTAGACAAAAAGTTCTCCTCTAAGTCTCCAAAAACAGTGTAAAACCTCAAAAACGCTGTAATAACAGGTTTCTGAAACCATCCTTCAGAGTATTTCATTGTGACGTTGTATTAAAACAGATTTAGGGAAAGACCAAAATAATGTACCTCTAAGGATGCTTAATCATTCTTTGGGCCTAGAAAATAAATCAAATTATTTCATAGTTGATAGTTCACAACTAATAGACTTAGTCATTAAATATCTACAAAATAGCCTGGTTTTTATATGTACGTGCTACTTTTGCTATAACGATTTTCTTTAGTTCTGATTCATTTTAAATTTTTGTTTTGTTTTTTTTGTTTTTGTTTGAGGCAGGGTCTCACTAAGTAGTTGAGATTGACCTGGAACTCACTATGTAGCCCAGGCTGGCCTCGAACTCACAGCCATCCTCCTACTTCATCCTCCTGAGTGCTGGGATTACAGGCGTGCGCCACCCATGCCTGGCTGTTTTAAATTTTTGAATAAGTAAAAATGTCCCAAAAGTGATAGCACAGATTTGGAAAACCTAGGGTGTTGTCAGTAGTAATAGAAATTAACAGAACTTTTTTCAAGAATAGCTTGCCGATACCTAATAAATGTCATACTCTATGATCCAGAAATTTGTTTCTTGGTATCTAAGTATATAGTCACACATGAGAATCATATGTAAGTATGTTCATAGTAACACTTAAAATATGAAAAATTAGAATCTACAAAGCAACGACTTATCTATGTAGTGACATACAGAATCTAGAATAAATACACTAATGTAACGCTTAGGTGTATCCACATTGATAAATCTCAGACTTATAATAGTGGACTGTATCAGTCAACTTTGTTTTACTAAAATTAAATACCTGAGAGGCAACTGACTTTATAAAGAGAAAAATTTTTTGTAGCCCATAGTTTTGGAAGTTCCAAATCCGGTATCGGGCTACCGCATTGGTTTAACATCGAGTTAGGACAGACGGCAGCACATCATGGTGGGAGTGTGTCAGAGTCACATGACAAAACAGGATCGATGGTATGATTTTAAAACAGGAAATGAGAAAAATACGCATTTATTCAGCTGTGTAAAAGCACAAGAAGGGTAAATCAGAGCCTAATGAAATTGGTTACCTAGAACAGGAGGGATAGAATGGAAATGGAGTAGAAGGGATTGGTGATGCTACATCTCTGTGAGTTTAGATTTCTGTATAATTTTGACTTTTAGAACTGTGTTAATATTTGAATATTGAAATGATGGTAATAGCTGATTATAACACATAGAATAAAATAAGAATCTAGCAGTCCATAATTACATAAATACATGAATAAACAGGTAAAATGGACATCTTTACCTTACATTAGAGTATCTGTTAAAGTAAAACAAAAGATGAAATTAGGAAATGTATCTTAAAAAACCATGGTAAGTAACTTTCTAGTAAGAATCTTTAGGCATGCTAATATTAATGAGGGATTTTTTTATAAGCTTTTTGCATACTCAAAATGCCCTCCCACAAAGGTACCTACCCATTGCAAAAATAAAAATAGAATTTTACTTACAGTGGAAAGACAGATAAAACCTTAGGTGATCAAAATGAAGATCACTGTAATAGAGCAAACAGGTACCATATGTCTCCCTTATCTAGTAGGCTTGAGGACACAGCATCATGTCTGAGGCATCCCTGCCGAGAACTGCAGCACACCAGCTGCCAGTGGAGAAGCAGGCTAACCCATTGAGGCTTATTCTATCACATAAATGTTCTGTGTGCTTCAAAAAATATAGTGATCAGAAAGGCAGAGACTGAGTAACTGTGCCCGCCTGGTGGAGAGTGAAGAGGTGTGACACCTGAATGAATCATGTATTGGATCCCAGACCAGAAAATTTTTATCTTTTTATAGTAAAGGACATCATTAGGTGACATTTAGAGTTATATTTTGATTATGTATGAACTGCCACTGTCATCAGAAATATGGAATAAAGGAACATTAAGTCTGCACTTTACTCTCAAATTATTATGTACATATATTGAGAAAATAAAGCAAATGTGATAGAATGTCTTTTTCATTTGTAAGCAATCATGTAAAAATATTAGTATGAAAATGGGTGATGAATACCTTGTTTTTTACTTTGCCATGTTTGAAATAATTAACAAATTAATTTTTTATTTCAAATATACATGCTAAGTTGAAATGATCATTTATTTACATGTATTCGAGACTTTCTTGCTTAGAATGTGCTGGAGAGGACCTGATTTAAAATATGTTGTAATAAAATAATGTCTGATAAATGAGTTGGACATTTTGGTGCACACCTGAGATCCCAGCACTTGGGAGGCAGGGGCAGGATTATGAGTTCATGGCCAGCATGGAGTACATAGAAAGACTCGGTATCAAAAAATAACAATAATAATAATAAGATACACAGTAAGTCCCCAAACTGTAAACAAGTTCCATTCTGGGAGAACCTTTTTAAGTCGGAATCCTTCATATCCAACAAAGTGAGTCTCATACAGTATACCTGTGAAAGTTTGCAACTCGAATGTTCGAAAGTCGGGGACTTACTGTAAATACTACCCTGTTTAACATGGAAATGTTCATCTATTAAAAATGTAAAATGGTGGTGGTGCACGCCTGTAATCCCAGCACTTGGGAGGCTGAGGCAGGAGGATCACTGTGAGTTCTAAGCCAGCCTGGGCTACATAGTGAATTCCAGGTCAGTCTCAACTACATAGTGAGACCCTGTCTCAAAAAACCAAAAAATAAAAAATAAATAAATAAAATGACCTTTGCCAATGAATTTAAACATGTCGGAAAAGTTGTCATTTAAATTCGGGGTTCAGGCTGCCAAATACCAGTTAATGATAAAAGTATTTGCCAATCCCCAATAAAATAAAAAATGACAGAATAGTAGTATTGAGGTTTTACACATTTGTTTAACTTAGAAGGTTTGTCATTGTATCTCTTCTCAGCATTTTTGCTGTGATCAAGTGAAGATTTATCGTTATTCTGGGATTCTTTGCCCTCTGTTCATCATATATTATTTTATGAAATTGTGGTTGTGGGCAGATACTAGTTTGGAATCTTTTTTACTAATGTCCTCTCTTAACAAAATTAAAGGTAGGGACCCTCTCTATCAGTCACCATTTTGAGAAATTACTGGTCTAATAGCTAGAAGTTTGAAAACCATATTTTTGTTCCTTTTCAAATGTAATAATTATTTAAGAATTGCATTCTAATTTTTCATTATCATTGTTGTTGTTTTATGTCATTTTCCCTCTAATATTTGCTAATAGAAATGATAATTTCCCTAAAGTGAAAAAATTCAGGCATAGGATAATCTAGATTTTCTGCCTAAATGAAATGTACCTTTGGTATAATTGAAAAGACTCAGTTCACTTGGTTTTTTTTGTTTTATTCTATTTTAGGGTAAACACTGTATCCTTGATGTGTCTGGAAATGCCATAAAGAGATTACAGATTGCACAACTTTATCCAATATCCATTTTTATTAAACCTAAATCCATGGAAAATATCATGTAAGTGCAAATGCCTAATATGTAGTCACTAAGCACAAGTCACTAAGTCACTGTTGAGTAATTTATTTACCCTCCCTGCATCTAGGTTTATCCATATATTGGAGAGAATAGTAACATGTGTATCCACCCTATAGAGTATACAAACCACTGGATGAGGGTTAAACACACACTGATGTTAACCATCATTGTCGCATCACCATCAATATTACTAAAATATAAGCTACATCTGTTAGAATTTTTAAAGAGCCACGTGTAGCTAGGAATAACCACTGAATTGAGTAGTGCAGCTCTAAGAACCATTAAGAGATAAAAAATATATCATTACATAAAAGAGGGCCAAAAAAAAGACAGACTCTAAATAGAAATTAAAAGAAGAGTACATAGAGACATAAAACACATGATTCAAAACAATATAAACAGTAAAATGGTATAAATGAACCCAAATATTTCAGTAAATAGACTGTTCTCTGTTTACTGCTAGAATAAATGCTAGATTAAATATTCTTTTGTTTCTCATTGAGTTTATTGGTACATTTTAGGGATACAGTACAGTTACATTCATCATTGGGATCTTGTACCTTTACATGACAGGTCTTGGTTCTCATTTTTTCCCCTTGTCCCTGCCCTCCCTTCCCCCACTCCTCCCTCCCCATTTACAAACACTTTATTTCCATTTTTTTCATTTTCTCATATTTTTTTCTTTTCCCTTATTACCTTTCCCCTACCCTTCCCACTTTCCCTACACCTTTAGCCCTTTTCTTCCTATTTCACATTGTCAATTATCTCATTAGGATCTTATGTACTATTATAGTTTTTCTAATTAAAAGACACTTTGTCAGACTAGATGAAGAAAAACAATGATACTGTTATCATAAGATACTTCTTTAATTTTAGGTTATGGAAAGGTTGAAAATAAAATAATACATAAGATATACCATGTAAATGTTAACCAAAAATAGATTAGTTTTCCATTACTGTCAAAGTATACATTAAAGTAAGAAATATTACTGGAGATAAAGAGGTACAGTATATTTAATAAAAATAGCACAGTCCCAAAGTATGTCACAGATTGACAGCTATTTAGGGTAACAAAGATAATTCCAAAAGCATCATGAAGAAAACTAACACACCTGTCAGGAAATAATCACATTAAAAAATCAAGGATATGGAACTACACAAATTTAAAACTTTCTTGCAGAAACAGGGCTATAAGTTTATCATAGGGCACTTGCTTAGCATGTGCGTAAGGCCCTGGGTTCAGTCCCCTCTACCACAAAAAAACAATGGTGGAGCTAGAGAGACAACAGAATAAATGATGTTGGGACATCACAAAAGAGGATCTCCAAATAATAGAACCAGAAATCCATCTTTCTCCCTACAAAACAATCATATGGCAGCATCTGACAATTATTTTGGAACTCTGTTGCAAGCTTGCAACTTCCCTTCAATTCCTAGTGTAGTAGTGCTGCTTACCACCCCGTAACAGGCAGTGTAATATATTCCTTGAGCATCTGTCACACAATCTGTGAGAGCCAGGGTGGGCAGCAGGACCTTGGTCTCCAAATGCCAGGAATCTGTGGTGTGATAAAGGATTGCTGCTTCTGATCTTGGAGGTACACAGAAAAAGTTAGTGAGCCATCATTGCACCTTCCTGCCCCCAAAGGATGAACTGACTTCGAAGGATTTAAAGAATTAGTACCTTTTACCCTTTCAGTAGCCAATCCAGGATATTCAGAAGTAACCACATATACAGGGGACATCTAGAGAGCCACTGTCTATTACTCTGGAAAAACACAGTCTCAGAAAATGCCTGAGATAACCCCAGGTTTACAACAGCTCAAGCCAATCTTCGGCCCGAAACACTGCACAATAAATTTTTAATAAAATAGCAAACCCGCGGGAAAAGGGAAACTTTGATCTCTGGAGTTACCTCCTGATAAGACTCAGATGTCCAGTTTTCAATAACAACAACAAAGACAAGAAACAGTAAAGCATTGCCCATTCAAAGGAAAAATAAGTTAATAGAAAAGGTCTCAAAGAAAGACCAGGTGTTGGACTTACTAGACAAAGTCTTTCACTGTTTCTAAAATGCTCAAAAAACTAAAAGACATAGACATGGTCAAGGAAATTATATATGAGCAAAATAAAAATGCCAGTAAAGAGAACACCAAAAAAAGAAGTGAAAAAGAAATTCTACAGCTGAAAATAACTAATTTATTTTTAACTCATTAGATTCCATGGCACATTTGAGCAGGTAGAAGAATCAACAGATTTAAAGATAGGACAGTGGAAGCCAGGTGTGGTGGTGCACGCCTGTAATCCCAGCACTCAGGAGGCTGAGGCAGGAGGATCGCTGTGAGTTCAAGACCAGCCTGGGCTACAAAGTGAATTCCGGGTCACTCTCAACTACATAGTGAGACCCTGTCTCAAAAAAAAAAAAAGGACAGTGGAGCTGGGTGTGGCAGCACATGACTGTAATCCCAGCACTCAGGAGGCTGAGACAGGAGGGATCACCATGAGTTCAGGCCAACCTGGGCTAGATAGTGCAACCCAGTCAAAAAACAAAAAAAATGGGCTGGGGATTTAGCTCAGTGGTGCTACCGCCTGCCTCACAAACGCAAGGTCCCAGGTTTGATCCCTGGTACCAAAAATAAAACAAAACAAAAAAGGCCAATGGAAATTACCAAGAGTCAGGAACACAAGAAAACAAACATTGAAGAAAAGTGAACAGAGCTTAAAACTGAAACACCTTTTAAGTAGACCAACACACGCAGTGTGGGAGTCCCAGAAAGGAGGGGGGTGGAGAGATTATATGAAAAAATAGTGGCCAAAATTTTTCCTCTTTTTGACAAAAGACATAAACATCCAAGAAATTAATGAACTGCAAGCATACTAAACTCAGACCCTCACTAAAGCACATTATAATTAAACTGCTGGAAAACAAAGAATGTTGAAAGCAGCAATCAGTGGCTCATACGCAGGATATTTTCCCAAAAAGATTATCCACAGAATTGTCATCCGAAACTTTGGAAATCAGAAGGCAGTGATTGATAGGTTAAAGGCACTGAAGAAAAAAAAAAAGTGTTAGCCAAGAATCCCATAGCTGGCAACACTGTTCTTCAAAAGGGAGAAATCAAGTCAGCCTCAGATAACCAAAAACTGAAGAAGTTCATTGCCACCAGACCTACTCTACAAGAAATGCCCGTAGTCTATTACATGTTTTTATGTATGTTTGTATGTTTTTGTACGTATGTATGTTGTTTGTACATTTTGTATGTTTACGTACATGTGTATGTTTTTATTGTATGTAGGGCGACAACATTAAACAGTACTTATGCAAAATACAAAAAGAAAACATCATACTTAATGGTGAAATATTGTAAGTTTAACCTCACAAATTAGGACAAACCACTGTATACTCCTCACCCAGCTACAACGAACTTTACCAGCTTGCACTCTGGTTTCGTGTATCCTCCACTTCCTTACCCCTCCACTGCACATTATTTTGAAACAAATCTAGACACATCATTTCATGCATATATTTAAGGGTTTTTTAGTGTTGTTTATTTAAAAATCACTGTGACTCTCATACATAAAATAATTTGATATCATCAATCACAGTTTCCTGGTTATTTGATAGTTTTGGTTTTTTAATGTGTTCATTTCCTGACTTAAGTTCTTTAGTCTCCAGATTCTCCTTCCTTCTCCTCCTCCCCATCATCCCAGTTACTTTGTGAAGAAGCCAGGTCATTTCTTTTGTAGTACTTTCCTCGGTCTGTACTTTCTGACTGTCTTGTCATGGTGTTACTTACATTCATGTATCCCCTTTATCTTCTGTAAATTAGTAGGTAAGTCTGTCAGTCTTAAAATGAAATTTTTGTTTGTGAAGAGTATCATAAATTCTTAGGGAGTCTACGGGGCTACTCGATCCATTGCAGAATGTAAAACCCTCTTTTTGTACCAAATATGAGCTAAATCTTTTCTTAATGACATTCATGTTTTCAACAGAGCTCAACTTTTTATGATTTTGTATGTCTTCTCTCCTTTTTAAAAAAAATATTATAATGTGGTAATTACCAGTTTCTAAATTTATCTGCACAGGGAAATGAATAAGCGTCTGACAGAAGAACAAGCCAGGAAAACATTTGAGAGGGCCATGAAACTGGAACAGGAATTTACTGAGCATTTCACAGGTTGGGACCATGTGTGACAGTGTCCTTTATAATAGAATGTTGGGCCGAGTATTTAGCTCAGTGGTTCTGCCCCCTGCCTCACAAGCTCAAGGACCTGAGTTCAGTCCCCGGTACTAAAAACACAAAGCACATAGTAGAATATTGCTTTGAACTCATTTGAACTGATACATTCAAATGTATTTTGAATTAATGTCCACATCTCTGGTAGTAATCAGTATTATTATTTTCAGAATAAACTGTTAAGGTCTGTGGTATTGTTCTGTGGAAAATTCATCTAACCTAGGTGATAAATGGGCAATCTTGAGATTTAATGTTTCTTAGGTTGTTGGTTAGGACAACCTTTATCGAAGTGAATTCATATTTGACCAGAGAAAAGTATGGTCAAAGTAGATTTGACTTCTTGTATGAAATTTTGACTTTATCTTTTATAAATTTTGATCAATTTTTTTCCAGCTATATTGACATATAATTAACAATTTTTATATATTTAGAATGGAGGGCCAGGGATTTAGCTCAGTGGTTCCGCTGCCTGCCTCGCAAGCTCAAGGTTCCAAGTTCAATCCCCAGTACCAAAAAAAAAAAATTATATATTATATTATATATCTATCTATATATATATGGAGTGTACAGTATAATCTGATCTGCATATACATAGCATATTGATTACCACACTCATATAGCACATCTGTCACCACACAGTTGCCATTTCAGGTTACTCTTAGGTCCCTTTCTTACAAGTGGTAATTTGTACCTTTGACCAACGTCTCCCCATATCCCCTACCCATTCTACTCTCTGATTAAGGTGTGAATGTATTTCACTCAAACTGTGAACTCTCACAAAACTGATGCTAATAAATATTACAGTATTTAGTTTTTTGGTTAATCAAGCCTTCTTAACTGTGTGTGTTTTAGGCCCTCCCTACACATGTGCACACCCTTTTACCTTTTTTCCTTCAGTCCTAATTGTATTGAACCCAAGATTACTTAGACATGGTAGCGTTGTGCCATTGACCCCCTGGCTGCATAATGTGCATAATCCCAGTCGTCAGATAGATAATTTGACTTAAATCTCCATTTGGAGTTTAATTCTAGGTTTTTGAGACCGTGAAAATCTATATCTGTGATGATCTTCCAAAATCACTGAGCATTGTTTTATAGTTTGATGATTTATCTGACTTAATTTTGAATTCTTTCATTTATATGAAAACATTTTTTTTTTTTTAAGTTACTCATGCTGTGCTTTCTGGTCAGACTTGCTTTTTGTTATTGTTTGATTAACTGACCTTTATTCCACACAGACCTCAGGGACTCCCAAGTATTCCCAGAGAATTTCTTGTTGGTAATTGTTACCATTTTTATTTATACATAATTTCAAACTGCAGAAAAAGTATGAGTTTAATAATTCCCAACTACTCACAGGACAGATGATGTATCTCAGGTTCCCTCCACTCCAGTACCTGAACCTAGTAGCATCTGGGGGAAAGTAATACCAATCTATAACTCTTTTCCCCTAAGCTCTTTTCCCCTAAGCCCAATACTCAAAACAGAAAAGTAGCTATGTTTGCCCTCTCTGGCACTGAGCCCACTCTCCTTTTCTCCATCCACTATGGAGAAATCAGGAAAGTTAAGGAAATATGTAATAGTCTTAAAAGATAGCCAAGGGCTGAGAGTAACCTCAGTATGTTAAGCATGTTTGAGACCCTAGATTCAATCTCCAGCCCCACCAGATGAATGAGTGAATGAAACCAGTACACACTTACATGACAGACAAAACAGTAAGCAGAAGAGAAAATAACCAAGTCTCGCTTTTATCAGTTTTTGAAATAAAAATTTGTACGTTATATGAATAGTAAAATTAATGTCACTAAGCAAACTGTAGATAAATAGTGACTCTTCCTAGATGAGTGACTAAGTCTCTTGACTTAAAGACAGATGATTAATAGAGATTTCTGGTTTTCTTTCTCTCATTGTAGCTATTGTACAGGGCGATACGCTGGAAGACATTTACAACCAAGTGAAGCAAATCATAGAAGAACAATCTGGTCCTTACATCTGGGTTCCAGCAAAGGAAAAGTTATGAGGACTGATGTTTCTCTATTTCCCTTTTTCACAGTCTCGTTTTCTTTTGACATTTCTTTGCCCTTTCCTTTTGGAGTCTGTCTTCAGTATTCCATTCATATTGAATCATCTCTCACTCATCATGGTCCCAGTTGTGCTTATTTTTGACATCTACTGTCTCCTTCGTGTTGTGTCATCTGTATTATTCTACATCACTATGGTTTGTGGCCATTTTCCTGAACTGAAAATGGATGGCCTGACCAGCTAAAGGGTCTGGGGAGATGCAGAAATTGTGATAAAACTCCTTAATGTTTAAGGGAAAGTAACTAAGATTTTCAGAATAGCTTTGTATTCATCCTTTTGAAATTTCAGTACAAATGAAAGAAAAGTGGTTTTAACCAGTGATTTAGTAAACTGAGCAACTATGCACGCTTAACTTTAATAGCATGATTTGGCCAGTGTATTAGCTCTCAAGTCCTTTTCCCAATTGACTTCTGTATCAAAATAATTATTTCATTATAGACAAGATTTTTTTTTATTTCAAAATTAATGTCTGCGTTAACTTTCATAATTTCACAAGGGATGTTCATTTTTCATAGAGTTCTTAAAGTCTTTTATTATTTGAAGTTTTCCGCCCCAATACATAAGGAGCAACAGTGTTCAGATGTTTTTAATCTACTTGTGCAACACTGTTTATAGTGTCTCACAAAAACTGTTCATAACGATCATCCCATTTTCTGAATTAAGGTCACGTTGAGGTTGATAGGAGCTCACCTTTTACACTGAAGGTTGAGAAAATTTCATAGAAATGCAGACAAAGAGACATTACAGTAAAGATGTAGTAATCATCATGGCAATGGAAAAGGAGTCCAATTCATAGCCTAAAATTTTAAATGTATTCTTAGGGGTCAGATTTTAATGAATATTTTACCCACAATAACTGCCTATTTTGTTATAATAAAATATATATATATAAATATATATATAACTTTCTTTAAACTCTGTAACTATGGAATTATTTTCTTTACATAGTTGCACACACACAAACATATATATATTTAAAATATATTTTTTCTTTTGCCACCAGCTCCTTTTTGTTTGGTTTTTAAATTAATATTAATTGATGAGACTTACCTTCTTCAATCTGTGAGCTGAACACAGGGGTATGGTGGTTGTGAGGAGAAACCTCTAGGGTCATTAGATTGCAAATAAAAGAATGAGCATGTTCTCCTCTTTTCTACAGAATTTTTCAAAAGGTTCTTGGTTTTTTTAATGTCACTGTTCTTGTCCTTAGATCTGATTTTGGTCCTCTGCCTTTCCTCCTAGTTTTCCTCCTTTGATTAACAGAAAACAGGTGAAAGCCCCCTTTCTGTGTGCATTTTCCCTTCAAGTGCCCTCATCTTGTGTAGCTGCTCTGCTCTAGAGTTGCACAGATCTTCATGATGAGCAATTAAATTTTAGTAGAAGGTAGAAATGAATTCAGAAAACAGTTTCTCTGGTCCTTTTTATTAATACCGTTTGTCTTCTCATTCTCTTTGGAGTTGTTTATTAAATATGTGGTTTTTGGCAACCTCATTAAAATTTCTTAAATGAATACTGGTTTGTAAAGAATAATAAACATTATCCATTCCATTTGTGAGAAAGAGGAGAACAGCTAATAAACTTTATTGTAAAATTCATGTTAAATGTGTCTTGAATTTTGAAAGAAAAATTATTTTATAAGCTTATATTTTCTTGCCCCACATTATATAACTTGTACCTTGAATTCAGTAACCACTTGGCATTGTATTACAGCTCTCACAGTAAATGTAGCAGATTGTCACCAAACATAAACACTCTTGAAGGGAATTAGAAAATCTCAAAAGCTCCAAAAATCACCTTATGAGATATTTTGGAGTGTTTGCTAAATAGTCACATGTTGTAAATACCAACACATTCTAAAATGATGCTATATATGTGTTTAAAACTTGGGGTAGAGTGCTTTATGAATTTTTTTTTAACTGAGTATTATATCTGGGACCTTTACACTGAGCTACATCACTATATCCCCATCCCTGTTTTGGTTTGTGTTTGAAACAGGTTCTAAGAAGTCATTAAGGGGCCGGGGATTTAGCTCAGTGGTTCCACCACCTGCCTTGCAAGCACAAGGTCCTGAGTTTGATTCCCAGTACAAAAAA